GCCCAGCCTCCCCCGCAGTGCCAGGCCCCCATTATCCCTGAGTCCTCCCATGCCCAGCCTCCCTCCCAGGCCAGGCCCCCATCATCCCTGAGTCCTCCCACCCCATGCCCAGCCTCCCCCGCAATGCCAAGCTCCATCATCCCTGAGTCCTTCCACCCCAGGCCCAGCCTCCCCCTCAATGCCAGCCCTGTCGTCCCCGAGTCCCCCCACACTGGACCCTGAGCCCCACCTGATGCGGTCGCTGGTCCCGCTGTAGCCCCAGCGGCTCTCCACCTGCTGGAAACGGTTGATGCTGCACTCCTTCCCGCGCAGGCAGCAGCGCGGCCGGTCGATGAACTCCACTCGCGGCTTAGGGTTGACGGTGAAGTGCAGGAAAAGGCTGACCACCTCGCGGTCCACCAAAATGCCTGACTGTGCAGGGCCTGTGGCACAGGGACGGTGTCGGGGGGAGGGCTGGGCTGCGCCCCAGACCCCAAATGCGCAGGAGGACACGATCCTTCCCCCTAAGATGTCCGTGTCCGACTTCCAAGGTGCAGAGACCCAGGCAGCCCCCCTGGGGAAACTGCCACCAGTTGTGGCCCCGCTGAGTCCTCCTGGGCTTTCGGGGAGGGGTCCCAGGGCACAGACCAGAGGCTGACAGATACGCTCACTCAGGGGCGAAGTCTCGGGTCTGGCCCTGCTGCAGGAAATGCCTGTCACTGCACGGTGGGTGTGGGGGTCCCCACTACCTGTTTCCTAAGGGCCATCAGCCAGGAGGGGCACTGTACCTCTGCACCAGGCCTGCACCTCCCAGGCCACAGCCCCAGCTTCTAGAAGTGGCCCAGGGCTTCCTCTCCACAGTGGGCCCTGAGCACCCACCTCCCAAAGCACGCACACCCCAGGGGCGATGGCCAGCTCGCCAGGTGTGAGTGAGCACGCCCAGCCAACAACTGCAGTTTTCAAAAGGATGTATCTGGCCAGGTGTGGTCGCTCACGCCTGTAATCCCAGCACTTGAGCGGGGTGAGGTGGGAGGATAGCTGGAGCCCAGTTCGTGACCAGCCCAGGCAAGACGCTCTCCCTACAAGAATACAAACATAAGCCTGCAGTGGTGGCGCCCGTAGTCCCTGCTAGGGGGTGACACAGGAGGGTCACTTGAGCCCAGGAGGTCGAGGCTGCAGTGAGCTGCACTCCAGCCTGGGCCACGGAGACCCTGTTGATAAATCTGGTGACCTCAGCCAGGGGACAGCAGAGGCCGTGTGGACCTCGGAAAGAACAGACCGTTAGTGGATCGGCCACAGGACTGTCTCCCAGCCCCTTCTGGAACTTTCCAGGCCTGTTTTCCTCCAGAGCTGGATGGCCCCAGGAAGGGAACAGCCACATGAGGGCAGGAGCCATCATTAGGGCTGCCCCTGTCACCCTGGAGCCCAGGCCCTGCAGCAGGGGACCTCGAGGTCCACCCATGGGTGCACCACAGCTGCCCTAGCCATGCCGGAGCCTTCATGGGCTCATCTCAGACACTGGCACCTGAACCGGCAGGTGGCACGAGCAGGGGAGTCCCTTCCCTCCTGGGCAGAAGCCGCCAAAACACAGCTGGATAGACAGGGAGGCAGGGCGCTGGCAGTGCACACGGCGGGGACATAGCCGGGCCGGGGCTAACAGATGGCCCTGTGGATGCCCGCACAAGTCAGGTTTCTTCCCATCACTATACTCAGGCATCTGCCAGGTTTTCTGCAGCGAACTCGGAGGCTGCTCTCCTGGGCACCAAGGAGCCCGTCTGTGTTCCCAGCAGGGCCACCAGGTGTCACTGCTCTCCCAAGCCCGCCCGTGGGCCCCTGAGTTACCTGCAGCGAACTCCTCGATGGTCATCAGTGGAAAGCGGATGAGGCCCAAGGCCTTGCCCAGAACCTTCCGCCGGTTCTCGGGCGTCACCTGCAGCTGCTGCCGCTGACACTCGGCCTCGGACCAGCGGACAACGGCGTTGAACAGCCGCACTTCACGGATGCCCAGAGTGTCGCGCTCCAGGACGGCCACCAGCGTGTCTGCGGGGTGGGGAAGGGGCTGTGTGAACAGGACGCCCGCGTGCCCACCCTGCAGGAGGCAGGGAGACTGACAAGAACCAGCAGTTGCAGCTGCACCGGCAACTGCGGCCTACGGCCCAAACCCGGCCCTGTAATTGTATGTGTAAATAAAGCTTTATCGACACACGACCACACCCCTTCAGTTTCCTAGGCTGTGGTGGTTTTTAAGCCCCAAGGACGGAGCTGAGTAGCTTTGACGAAAGCTGTTCAGCAACAAAGTCAAAACCATGGACCATCAGAGGACGAGATGGTCACCACCAGCTGGGATGGTAGCATCTGGTCTGCGGCCTTCCTGCCAAGCCCTCCTGCCAAGGCCCCAGCTCCCGCCCTGCTGCAAGTGGTGAGGACCCAGCTCACCTGGGCAGCTCCCCCAGGGGCCCCCAGGCCAAAAGCTCCCACTGTCAATCCCCAGAACCTCCCGCCAAGGCCCCGCTGGGATCCCCACGCCCAGGCTCCTGGGCCCTTACCCAGGTCGATGTCAGTGAAGCCCTCCGCGGTGATGGCGTCCGCAGTGTTTTTGTCTATGTTCTCCAGGCACAGGCTGGCCAGCTGTGGCTCATCGAACAATCTCGCCTGGCAGGAGACATCGAGTGGGGGGTTGGGGGGCATCAGCACCCAGGCCGCAGCAGATCCCCCACGCGGAGCCGGCTCCAACACAGCCCTGATCGCCGCGCCTTCCTGAGCATGGCCAGGAGCCACCCGTGGCTCAGCCACCAAGCTGGCCCTGCCGTGGGCCCAGGCCTCCTGTGACCACTGACTGGGCGGGGAGAGTCTGGGAGTTCCCTCTCGGGCCCTCAGAGGTCAAGGAAGGAAGAAACAGACACCTAGGTCCCTGCTGCTTTAGGCAAAAGGGACACTGTCGCTGCTCTTGGGGAGCAGCAGGCCCGGGACCCTGAAGGACAGGAGGAGGTAAGGTGGCTGGGGTCAACCCAGTAAAGCTCCCAGACTACAAGACGACTCCTGACAGGTGAGGAAGCTGGATGTCACCTGTGCTCTAGGGAAACTGAGGCTTCGTTGATGGAAAGTGCTGTAAGGGCCTGTGCCAACAGGGTCCTGGGCCGGCCTTTCTGCAGGCCTCACCCTGAAGACGTCTCTCAAGTGGGCTGGAGGTGGTCTTAGGGGCAGGGAGGCAGAGGGAGCCACAAGATGGACCCCGGGGATTGAGCTGCGGTGTCCTCTCAGGTCAGGCGGGAGCCTCTATGCCAAGGTGGCTACAGATGACCCCAACAAGAAACCCCTCCCTCTGGGGGTCCGGGATCCCCTGCATCTGACCTGCCGGGATGGAGAGGGAGAAGGTTCCGGGTCCTTTACAGGGTTCTGGACCCCCAAAGCCCATGAAAGGACCGGCACCACTGTACCCTCTGGGTGCCCCCAACCCCCGACCAGGAGCTCAGGGCTCCCACGGGCCACCACATGTCCTGGCCCCACGCCCTCCTCTCAGCATCCCTGGCCAGCATGACCTCCCCAGACTGCAGAGCCCAACTGGGGTCCCCTGAGACTCCCGGCCATACATACTCTGTCTACCTGACACTTCCTCAGAGAAGGAAAATTCTTTTTTTTTTTTTTTTTTTTTTTAAATTTTTACTTTTTTTTTAGCCGGACGTGGTGGCAGGCGCCTGTAATCCCAGCTACTCAGGAAACTGAGGCAGGAGAATCGCTTGAACCCTGGAGGCGGAGGTTGCAGTGAGCCGAGATGGTGCCATTGCACTCCAGCCTGGGCAATAAGAGAAACTCCGTCTCAAAAAAAAAATTATTTTACCTTTTTTTAGAGACAGCATCTCACTCTGTCACCAGGCTGGAAAGCAGTGGCGTGATCTCCGCTCACTGAAGCCTCAACCCCCGGGGTTCAGGCAGTCCCCCTGCTTCAGTCCCCCAAGTAGCTGGGATGACAGGCACTCACCACCGTGCTGGCTAATGTATGATTTTTTTTTTTTTTTTTTTAGTGGAGACAGGGTTTCACCACGTTGGCCAGGCTGGTCTTGAATGCCTGACGTCTGATGATCTGTCTGCCTCAGCCTCCCAAAGTGCTGGGATTACAAGTATGAACCACCATGTCCGGTCTGAGGTTTTTTACATTTTTTTGTAGAAAAAAAGGGTCTCCCTATGTTGCCCAGGCTGGTCTAAAACTCCTGGCCTCAAGTGATCCTCCCCAAGTGCTGGGGCCCTTTCCAGGGTTAGCCGTTGGAAAGGACCCCAAAAATTATTGGCAGGACATTAGCCTATGTGCCATGCCAATAATAAAAGTATCACAGAAAAGTCCAAAACATTTTTTTAGGACAGAGTCTCAGTCACCCAGGCTGGAGTACAATGGTGAAATCTCAGCTCACTGCAACCTCCACCTCCTAGGTTCGAGCGATTCTCCTGCCTCAGCCTCCCAAGTAGCTGGAATTACAGGTGCCTGCCACTATGCCCAGCTACTTTTTGTACTTTTAGTAGAGACGAGGTTTCACCATGTTGGCCAGGCTGGTCTCCAACCCCTGACCTTATGATTCACCCACCTCGGCCTCCCAAAGCGCTGGGATTACAAGCGTGAGCCACCACGCCTGGCCCAGTTTATTTTATTTATTTATTTTTTTTTGCTGTGGAGTCTTGTTCTGTTGCCCAGGCTGGAGTGCAGCAGCACGATCTCGGCTCACCGCAACCTCTGCCTTCCAGGTTCAAGCAATTCTCTTGCTTCAGCCTCCCTAGTAGCTGGGCATTCAGGCACCCTCCACCATGCCCGGCTAAATTTTGTATTTTTAGTAAAGACAGGATTTCACTACGTTAGCCAGGCTGGTCTCGAACTCTGTGACCTCGGGTGATCTGCCCTCCCAACGTGCTGGGATTACAGGCGTGAGACACCGCACCCAGCCAAAGCATTTTACTACCTCGCAGGATCTGGCTGCTTCCTGGCCCCGCCCCTGCCCCGCCCCCAGCCTTGGCCCCGCCCTAGGCCCCACCTCTAGCCTAGGCCTGTCCCCAGCCTGGCCCCGCCCCCAGCCCTGGCCCCACCCCTCCCCCGTCTCTGGCCTGGCTTGGCCCCGCCCCAGCCTGACCTGGCCCCGCCTCGTGCCCGGCCCCGCCCCCGGCCCCACCCACCTGGGTGAGCAGCATGAAGGCGTTGTCTGCTCGCAGGTTCTTCTTCAGAAACTCCACGCAGTGGGCCTCGAGCGCCGGCACCGCGTACTTTTTGGCGGTGTATAGCGTGGTCATCACTGTCTCCGGGCCGATCTGCACCTCGTCCGAGTAGAGAAACCTGCAGTGACAACGCAGGGGCCATGGGATGCGACCGCCATGACCGGACCCAGGGGAGAGCGTCAGGGGACCTCTCAGACCATCGGCCCCAGCCGCCTGTCCCCAAGCCGGCAGGGTCCAAACACTCCACGTCAGCTACCCCGAGGAACCTTCCAGTATTAGCCCGTCGGTTGACCTCTGACCATGGGACACGACTTGGCAATGCGGTCACCCATGAAAACGAGCAAGAGGCTGAACCCGTCTACAGCACACACCCGGAAGCGTCTACACTGCCAGCCTTGTCCTGCCCGGGATGCCCCAGGAAAAGTCACTGGGGGCTGGGTGTCTCCTCCTTGGATACCTTTTCCATGAGAAACTCTTGGTGCCACACCTCAAGCCCCACCAAAAACCTCAACCACTTCTGGGTGGATCACAGAACCCAACATGCCAGCTAGGATCGTGGATAATCGTGGACGTCATTACCACCTGCTACCGAGTGGTCCACACCATACTGAATACGGATCAGAAGTGGGGCTGATCAAAAACAGAAGCACAGGCCAGGCGCAGTGACTCATGCCTGTAATCCCAACACTTTGGGAAGCAGAGGCGGGCGGGTCACGAGGTCAGGAGATCGAGACCATCCTGGCCAACATGGTGAAACCCCGTCTGTACTAAAAAATCAAAAAAAATTAGCTGGGCGTGGTGGTGCGTGCTTGCAGTCCGAGCTACTCGGGAGGCTAAGGCCGGACAACTGCTTGAAACTGGAAAACTGAAGTTGCAGTGAGTCAGAATCGTGCCACTGCACTCCAGCCTGGTGATAGAGCAAGACTCTCTCAAAAACAAAAAAAAATAGAAGGACAGGCCGGGCACGGTGGCTCACACGTGTAATCCCAGCACTTTGGGAGGCAGAGGTGGGTGGATCACGAGGTCAAAAGAATGAGACCAGCCTGGCCAACATGGTGAAACCCTGTCAATACTAAAAATATAAAAATTAGGCCGGGCGCAGTGGCTCACACCTGTAATCCCAGCACTTTGGGAGGCCGAGGCGGGCGGATCACAGGTCAAGAGATCAAGTCCATCCTGGCCAACATGGTGAAACCCCGTCTCTACTAAAAAAAAATACAAAAATTTTTTTGTGGCGCGCGCCTGTAGTCCCAGCTACTCGGGAGGCTGAGGCAGGAGAATTGCTTGAACCTGGGAGGCGGAGGTTGCAGTGAGCTGAGATCACGCCACTGCACTCCACCCTGGCACCTGGTGACAGCGCGAGACTCTGTCTCAAAAAAAATCATCATATATATATATAAAATTAGCCCGGCGTGGTGGTGGGCACCTATAATCCCAGCTACTCGGGAGGCTGAGGCAGCAGAATCACTTGAACCTGGCAGGTGGAGGCTGCAGTGAGCCAAGATCACGCCACTCACTGCACCGCAGCCTGGCGAGGCTCTGTCTCAAAAAAAAAAAAAAAGAGTTGAAGTGAGGTGAGAGCTGAATCGGTCAGTGAGACAGAAATGAGGAAGCTGAAAACGACAGCGCCCAGCCTCTTCCCCAGATGAAGCCGTGGCTCTCCTCATGCGCTCTGCAGAGGGTCCAAGGGGCGCCTTCTGTGCTAGCCTGTGTTTCTCAAGTTTTCTGATTGTAACAGGGCAGAGGTTTCCCCCAGGGCGGTCCTGCCCCCCAAGGGGACACTGGGTGATGTCCAGGGATGTCTGTGGCTGCCAGGACTGGGGGTGCTCACGGCCCGGAGGGCGTACAGGCCAGGAATGCTGCTCAGCACCCTGCAATGCCCAGGACAGCCCACCCCAGAGAACGATCCAGTCCCAGTGTCCACAGGGCCGAGATAAGATCTCCAGTGACTTATGTGCAGAAAAATATCAAGCCTGCTCCCTGCTCACACCAGACACCAGGATAAACTCCCAATGGT